GAAAATTCTTGCTGTCGCAGGATACTAAAGCTTTTCAACTACAGCCTATAGTTGTTGTTGTGTTATGTTCCGTGGAGTCGGTTCCAACGCATAGCGACCCTGTACAGGGTTTCCGAGGCTGTAAACCTTAACGGGAGCAGAAAGCCTCATCTTTCTCCCGCAGAACGGCTGCTAGTTTCGAACTGCTGAATGAGATTAGCAGCCCGATTCATAACCACTACGCTACCAGAGCTCATTACAGCCTATGTTAAAAAGTCTGAAAATTCTCTTTTGCTGGGCATTTCAACTAGAGTCTGAGTCCAGGGGGATACTGCTTTAATAAGATATTTCTGCAAGACTCATTTTTGCCATTAGTATTTTGTTAATAAACCATGTCATATACAAGTGACTAACTATGATGGCCTGTGGAAGTTAACAAAACATTGTTCTAAACAACAGACAATGCAAGCTTAGGTTGGACTTTATTATTTATGATAAACATTTTTTGTTTAAAGGCCTGGTGGAAGGTAAATGGAAATCTATCATTGTGAAGATGTCGACTCGTGCCAGCTTCATTGTCCCTGAGTTTAGTACTGAGCTGTGTTCTCCCTGCCATGTTAATGGAGGTCACTTTGGTATAGTTGTTTGTTTCATCTCACCAAAGGAGTTCTGTGCAGTTAGCTGTTGAGAAACAAAATGATGTGGTTTCTAGTCTCTCACCTTCAGCTTGTGCACCTTTAAAGCAGCATTGATTAACAGGACTTTTACAAAGTTTCTGTGTAGTTACAAGGACAGTTTCAATCTTCTGTCATTTTTTCGCATTAGCTATGATTATGCTTTTACCACAAAAATGCATTTGTTTTAAAGGTAACAATACCGACTAGGAGAAGAGCTTATGTTTCATCTATATTTATCAGCACTCACTGTACATTTGTGTCTTCATTACCAGGAAATATTAAGGGACATTGTGCCATCTATTCCTGTTTACAGTTTATTATGCAGAGATAGGAAACACTTAGCATGTAAAATGAATGTAGAAATTATTCCTGGATAGAAACACGGACATTTCCCACTCGTTGGCTCTTTCTCCTCCATCACCGGATCAGAGTGTAATTGTCAGTAATCAGGCCTGCTTGCTGCTGATAAAACCACTCTGAATGCTAGCAGCCTTCTTTGTGTGATGACTCAATTATTCCAGAAGTGCCTCATCAAATCTGCCCCATCAGCTGGGCTAATAAATAAGGAGAAGAAACTGGCCCCCCAAAGCAAATTATAAATCCATTTGCATTAACCATTTCGCTGGTCCATGATCTAGGCAGAAATAAGCATGGCAGATTGTGTTAAGCTTATTTGAATATGTTTATAATGTTTACAGCATGCAACTTTTTTTTCCCCCACAAGGTGTTCGAATTATCCATCACAAATGGCATCTAAATACAGTTATGTTAATTATGACCAGACTTGAAGCATCTTGGAAGGCTATTTTGTGACTTAAATCAGGTGAAAAGTAAATCCTTTTGTGGGAGGAAATATGGATCTCACACAAGTTACTAGAACTGTTTTAGAGTTTAAGGAGAAGAGGCCTAGGTTTGATTTTTAAAGGTACAGGAAGGACAAATACAAATGCAATAATGCCTTCTAGTACAAGCAGAATTATTTCCAATATATCACAATGGAAATCAGAAAGTATTATTTGAGGCTATGTGTGACCTCAGCAATCGGCAAAGCAAAAATTGCATGTTTTCTGAGAGGAGAGCAGAGTTGCTCTAGTACTCCTTGGGCTTGAAATTCTTTGAAAAGAGTCTACAGAGCTATGATTTTAAAAAGCTGGGTCAACCAATGAAATCAATTAAATCCATCATTGAAAAGACTGTACATTTGACAAGTTTTATTTTGATCTTAATTTTAAATGACAAACTTCTGAATAACAAGAAGTTTGTTTGTATTTGAACTTCATTAATCAGAGATGTATAGAATATTAAAAGTGGATCATGAAAAGCAATTTGAGTGCTAATATCAAAGAACACGTCTTGTTATGTATGTAATGATTGAAAATCTGAAATATCCTTTCTAAAAGTAAGTGGTGCTGTAACATAAGCACTGGACTGCTAACTGCAAGGTTGGTGGTTCAAACCCAATAGCCACTTTTCGAAATCCTATATAGGGTTGCTATAAGTTACAAATGACTCAACAGCACTTAACAACAACATATATATATGCATTATTGTTGTTGTTAATAATAAAAACATGTGTTGTTGTTATTGTTAAGTGTCATCAAGTCGGTTCCAACTCATACCGACCCTGTATAGGATTTCTGAGGAGTGACTGGTGGGTTTGAATTGCTGACCTTGTAGTTTAAACTGACCTTGCAGTCCAGCACACCATACCAGGACTCACTATCTGTTCCTCTCTTTCTATCTTTCTCTATATATATCTATGTGTGTGTGTGTTTATATATATGTGTGTGGGTGTATGTGTGTGTTTATATATTTATATATACATATTTATATATATGTATATGTACATAGAATATATATATATATTCTAAAACTACTTAAATGAAACTCACTACTTTACTTAACTTGCTCTAGCCAAAGAGGTGTATCTTCCTTGATATCAACCTGCTGAGCTACATAGAAGAAAGTCATCCCTGAGGTCATCAATATCAAGTGGCAATAGACTTGACTGATTTGTGTCCATTTCTAAATAGATAATCTCTGGCTGTGATGAAAATACTAACTCTATACTACATCGATTAAAAACTCCAAAATTGGAAGTCTAAATCTTCATTCGAAATTCAATGAAGCAATATAGAAAATGGAAAACTTCAGGGTCCACTTGATGTTCCAGCCAAAGATACCAAGGCTTATTCAAAATTAGATTTTAATTTAAATGATCATACTGATTAATATAAAGCTAATTCTAGAAATTTAGACTTTAAAAGACTTATATTACCATTCAAAAAATAAACTAGACAAAGGTAACCCCCTTTCTCATCATGAAAGATTGATAAAGAGATAAGTTATAACAGTTAGAACCATGACTGAGAGATTTAAATTATGACAAGTTATGTAGAAAAAGCCTCAGGGAATAGAAATACTTAGGTAAATATGTTGGTATTGTTATGTTTTTATTTTCCTTTTAAGACACCAAATCTAACAATGACCTTTTGAGCTTATATTGACTTTGCAAAGTTCTGACAAGACTCTACCTTACACTTTCATTCTGACTAAAAGAGAGCAGTCTGGTTCTAGAAATGGTAGTGGTGGTGAACTCAGCTATGTTACGGAGCTATATGTGCACATTGTGTATTAAAGCCATTTTCTCTTTAACTTTCACTTGGAGATTTTTTTTTCTTTTTAATACTGAGTCCTTTTGAATCAGAAATAAATAGGTAAATAGCTAAAAATACATTTCTTTGCTTTTGGAGTATACTTGGTGTATGTACTATGTCACATTAGATCATTCACTCCACCTGATAAAATACATATAACTATGCTCTTTAGAAAAACAGAGCCCAACAGATTTGCTACATCACTTCATAGATTCAGAGAAATGTCTTTTCTGGAAGTGAGCACCCCATCTATGAGTACCACAAGTCCCTAATTATTGGCAGATAATGAAGCAGACAAACAGAACACTTTGTGTTGAGGCCATTTAATACATAATACCAGGTAATAATTAGAGAGCACATTTAAGAATTGTGTCCTCCACCAGATTACCAGCATCTCAGCTGGTATATAGTTTTATCTTTTAAGGTATGAGTTGATCACTCATAACTTCAGTGCAAAAATATTCGCCTAATAGGATTAACTCTGTTGCAAGTTCTGTGATATTGGTCAAGTTCTAAATCTTTGGCTAATCATTTTTCAAATGTTTTGTTTTCCATGAATATATCAATAGGTTCTTTCTTAAGTTTTGAGATCAGCAAAGGAAAAAAATAAATAAATAAAAGAAAGACTAAAGTAGGGCTATTAATAAACATGATTTTTAAAGTTATCTTTTTTTATATCATTGTACACATTCAGAGAGCGGAGAGAACCAATTTCAATGAGAGATTTCTTTCGCTTCTACCAAGGATGTGCTTCCAGAAAGTTAAGTTTAGTTATTATCGGGATATGTGTGGAAGTGGGCAGGGTTTGAACTTCCCATTTGTGTTTGGAGTACTTAGACTTCAGGAGACCTTTGGTGTCAAATCATATTTCTAAAGTTATATTTTGTCACTGACCTCTGCACACTTTTCTAAGGAGATCTCAGCTGTACCGCCTTAACTCTTCTCCCCAGGGAGGTGAGAGACAGCAGATGGGGTTAGGGCAGAGGGCTGATGATCTGACAACAAATGGGCTGGTTGTTGAGTGGAAGCTGTAAGCGTCAGGAAGCTACTTTTCCCCTGAGAACCAACTAACCACTGAAGAAAGTTGAAAATGAGCCCTTTGAGAAACGCTATTAAAAGTAGTAAAAAATTGCAATTGTGCAGATGATGTGCTGCTGTGTGCTTATTCGGATGCTAATGAGTTTGACATTAGGGAACTCAGAGGGTTTACAGCTACTCCCTTATGTGATTCAGTTCTTTATTGGCAATCTTTGAGAAAATAAATGGAAAATGTATTGCTAATAAATACATAACACGATAGGGTATTAGACAAAAAGCCATTACTTTCAGGATTTAGAAAGAGCTTTGTTCACCAGTCGGCCTGTTTTCCAGGATCTTTTGTTTTAGGTTAGTGTATGGCAAACAAAGGGAATAGGCAGGTGGAAAACTCCAGAACTCTTTCTGAACAGTGGTTGAGTAGAATAGGCAAAAAAAAAAAAATTGAAGAAAAAGCCTCCTCCCCTTTTTTCTTGTTGCAATCAAACACAAATTAAGACTTCCCAAGCTACTGTGCTACTTTTCAGTTCTTACACTAGTGCAATAATAATCTGTTCTATCACTTGAGAGAGTTTTGTCTCCATTTCTCCCCAGGAACTACAGTTGCTGACTTAAGTTAAAGAAGCATCTGCCAAATGTCTAGCCAAAGCCTATGAGTCATACGGAATCCCATGTTTACAAAGCTGCGCACCACCGCATCCTGCAAAAGGTAACTCACAGTCTATCTAGGTTCCCTCTTCAAGAAAAGTTGGTGGTTTATTTATTAAAAGACAAGCACAGCCAAGCATAAACATGTTAAATGTGCACTGATATATATGGTATTTATATAAATAGCCATTCTCTTGTGGGTTGTGGGCACTACACTGAATTTTAGAGTTTTCTCTCAAGTGCCAAATGGCCTGAAAACTGAATCTGTGCTCATCCCCTGAGGCCAAATCGAGGTGATAAAGCTCTATGTATTATGACTGAATGAAACGTAAACAAAGAGTAAATTGTTTCCATGGAAGGCCTGTTAAAACATTGGCAAAGATGATTAGTAGTATTTTATGATGATCTTATTAAAAAGAACCTGAAGTAACAAGAGGAGACATTTTGAAGATATCTTTTGTGACTTCTTGAATATGGCACTCTCCAAGTCTTGTCAAAACTTTTTTATTTTAGTGGTTAAAGTAATAAAAATAATAGAGTCCTTTTCGTCCGATTTCTTTACCAAATTGAAGCTATAGTAAGAGTTCTGCAATAAATAGGAAAACAAATTTGGCTTACCTTAAAAAATATAACTTTTTTCCCTCATTAATTGTTGTGGTTAAGTGCCTTCGAGTCATTTCTGACTCAAATCGATCCTGTGTTGGGTTTCCAAGGTCATAAATCTTTACAGGAGCAGAAAGTCTCATCTTTCTCCCTCGGAGAGGATTTGAACTGCTGTACTTGTGGTTAGCAGCCCAACGCGTAACCCAGTATGCTGCCAGAGCTCCTTTCCTCATTATTAAGTAGTATAAATTGTCCATCCTGCCAATCAATATATGGGTAAAGGTGCCATTCATATCTGTGCTTATTGATGTTCTTTTATTATATTTGTTCTTTTCTTTCCCAGCCAACGCCTTTATATTAATTAATTTTGCCTTTCCCTTTAGCCAAGTTAATACGAGACAACTTCAAAAAGTTGGTGGAAAATTCCATTATATTTAAATTCTATTTTCAATGAATCTTTTTAAGCCTCTCATAATGTGTTTACACGCTAGTTAGTAATTTCTCCTCCTTTCCCCTCCCACTTCCGGTAACCATCCAGGAATGTTTCTTTGAGTGTGAAAACTTTTTCTTGACTTTTTATAACAGTGGTCTCAAACAATATTTATCCTTTTGTGATTGACTTATTTTGCTCAGCATAATGTCACCCAGGTTCCTCCATGTTTCTTCATCCTGATATGCTTTCCTTTATTAAAAATAATTTTTGTCTTAATAGAATGAATTTCAGGATTTCTTACTGAAAGAAACCAAAAGACATTTAGTCGCCCTGACAAAGTCAGACGGACCAAGTTGGCTTACAAATTACCTGGAAATAGAGAAAGGTAAGGCAATTTTTATTACAAGTACAATGTATTGAAAAATGAATTCAGTCAAAACATTTATATAAAACCTTTCTCTTCAACAGAGCTTTATCCCGGTGAATTTACTTTGAGAGAAATTTGTTAGTGCTGAATTTGGAGTTGTGATTTTTGTCAGAAGCACAGTCAAATAAATGCAGATTAAAAAATATTAAACATAGAGGTCCTCTGAGTCTACACAGCCTTTGCATATTGATTGGTATGTTATTTGCCCACCCATCTCTGTCCTTAAAGAAAGGTCCAATGTTAAAATAGTTTTAGAAAACTATTTTAGAAAAAAATCTAGTATTAGAAAAAAGTTGAGTTAAGAATTAAGAGTAAATAGAATATATTTTCAAATCACTATAGCTGATTTCAATAGCCAATTCTTATAAACACTGGGAAGTAAGAAATTTGGGTTTTCCTTGAATAAAGTCCCTGTAAAATCATTTATCTCCACCTGAATAAGCTTGTTGTTTAACATTACATATTTTGC